AAAAAAAAAAAAAAAAAAAAAAAAAAAAAAGGTATGTTAGCCTGCTCTTCAGACTAAGGACAACTGGACTAGGTCTTTAATCAAGACTTGGATGAAACCGTGTGAGGTGTTTGCTAAATATTGATCTTATTGAACTATTACAGCTAGAGGATGTAATTCCCACCTTTCCACATAACCCATAAAATTCACCAGAGGGCAACTCGGCTCAGCCCTTTGCCCACTCTTCCCTCATATTTGCCATAATCTTTGTTACCTGATGAGTGGTAATTTGTTAAACTTCAACAGCTTGATCACATGAGCACCCTTAATAAGCAGCGGGCACAGCAGTCAGGGGCACCACCAAAGGCACCACAGAGAAAAGCGACCCAGCTAGAAGGAAAACTCAGCACCAGACCTTTAAAAAGCCTTCAACCACACCTCACAGTTGACAGAAGAAACGTCACCAACATGTTAGAGATGAACAGACTTGTCAGCTTTGTTAGTTGTACATGTTGGCTCTACCCAGATTTTTCTCTTGAATACTTTTACTATAGCTAGGACCTCCTCAGCACAGAAGCAACGACCCAGGCAGGACAAAGCAATGTGCAGCCTGCCACTTCGCTTCTATCACCTACAAGGTCCTAGGTCTGACTTCTTGTTGAGCAATGCCATCACCATTCTGGTGAAGAGAAGGCTTTTTCTGCTGGGTATCCCAAAGCACCCTTACTGCACTGCCTTGCTATAGGAAGGAAACGGAGCAAAAACGGCCAAGAGCTGGGAATTCATGACTTCCAAGCCCAGGTGCTTTCAATTGCAGGACTCTCCCATTCCAAGAACGTAAGAAGAGGAGTACGAATGGAAGAGTATGATGAAGACTACATAAGAGATTTCCGTGTTTCTGAAACATCAGTAAGAGACGTATTTAGGCCTGAATTTTAACCCTCATGTTCTCACCATGCTCATTTACTGCAAGATATTGCTAAGAGGATCTAAAACACAAAGGACTTCTCCATCAGGAAGAAGAGCATGTACTTAGAAAGTCTGAAGCTCATGCCAGCTCTTCCAGGCAAGAAGAAAGATCCACAAAATCAGCTCATCCTACAAGTGTGGCATGGTAACGCCATCCGATACCCAAAAGGGTAAAACTATTTCCTCCTCCTGAAGTGTCTAAAGCCCACAGGGGAACTAGGGGGAGCAAAACTATCTCAGTCACCAATTGCTCTGGAAAAGACTCAAAGCACCTGTGTGTTTCACCTGCGCTCCCACGCACAAAACAAACTATAGCGCATTTGTGCTTTCTCAAGCAGAGCTAAATAGCAGACTCTTGATTGGAGAGACCCATTTAGAAACCAAACGCTGTGAAAAGCATCCTGACTTTCAGGCGTGCACAAGTGCAGCCGAGGGTGACGCTGGCCGTTCGTGCCCTTTGCTAAGGATTCTGAGCACGAAACCGAGCACGGGAGATGACAGATGGAAACGCATTATGAGTCGATGAGGAGAGAAGGAAGTCTGTGAGAACCGCATGCTGAACCCTCGGATGGCATTAGGAAGAACAGCTCTAACGAGGCTGACAAAGTCGCAATGGATTTCAAGCCATATATGCTGATACGTATGCTACAATGAAAATGTTAAAGGCAATCAATCTTCCGGCTTCCAAGGGATGCACTAGATCTTCAACCTGGGATCCGGAAGGTGACGTCCTTTTTTAAAACCCAGAGTGAAAGTGCCCATTTAACGGTTAAGTATACCTTTGGCTTCCTTTTTGTCTGAAGCATTCAGCCACGAAAGGAAACAATTTCTGCCTGCACTGATAGAGAAAATGATATTGAATGTTTAGGGGAGATTAATTTCAGGATTGTGACCAGACTGAGGAAATTTGTGGAAAATATCTTTCATAGTTTGATATTGAGTTTGCAGCTTTAGGAGTAGCTCTCCTGAGTTATGTGCCTGGCACCTTGGGTGCGGGTGACGCTTTCATTCCTTCCCTCCCTTTGTGAATGAAAATGCCATCCAAGCACATAAACACAATATTTATTAAAAAAAAAAAAAAAAAAGTGAAGTACAGATTCCCCCCCACTTTTACAATGTCCAATAAGACTGCTGCCTAGAAGACTGCTTCGTGGGCTCTCCAGGAATTTCCCTGAGCTGACACACAAACTGTGCCTGTCAGATGTACAGCATCACCCCTGAAACTTAAATAGCTTCTGAGGTGCAAACCAGGACAGTGCCAACATAAATCAGCTGTCATATACGGCATCCTTTACACCTGCATTACTAACAATGCTTTTGATTAGCAAAGCTGGAGAAATCTGAAACACTCATTTCAAACTGCATTACCCCACTAAGATTTGGTCCTCGTTTCCATCCTGCCCAGGTGCAGATTCTCATGTAAGCACAGAGAGAAACCCAGGCTCCTTTGCTTCTTCTCTCCAAAATTAGCATCCTAACTGCTGGACCACCTCTCTTCTCTATGCAAAGTACTAAATACACTGCAAGGAACAACTGCCTGTGGAGATGCCACGTTCCCCTCAACTTGAACTGGCATAAATGTGTTGTAATCAGCTCCCTCTTTGAGCAACCAAAGGCTTGAAGAAAGAGGTTATGTGAAGTTTTAGTGCTGTCAAAATTCGTTTGCATGGAAATTGCAGCAGAGAAGGGACCCTTTTCTGAAGGTACTTTCACTCCCATCTGGACCCATCACCTTCCATTACTCAAACGCCTTTCTGACAAACATCCATGCCTTCCCCTATGCTATGCCCAAACACTAGACATAAAAAATAGCTTACGACAGTTCCTGCTGGCATAGTAGAGAGACTGTTTCTTCTGTAGGATTAATTAGCAGATGGGATCAGTGGAAGATAGCTGAGCTAGAGAGCTGGACAACTGTAGTCTTTCCATTCCAATAAATACAACCCAAAAAACTAAGGATGCAAAGCTGCTTCAGGGCCAGCAGTTGCACTTGAATCTCTTTCCTAAAGGTAGAAACAGAGGTCAAGGAAGAAAACTGCAGCCTGTTGCATGGGGTTACTGACAGGTTGTCCAGGCTGACTTATAACTGCATGGTTGGTTTTACAGTTCCCCAAACTCTTGCTTTGCTTGCTTATTTATCAGTCAACCCACCATTTTACTCCAGCAAAATAACCATGATACCAAAGAGATTTTGAAATTAGAAGGATGTGCTTGCAAGCATCTTCCGTCATGCAGAACTGGAATTAAAATATATACTCAGCCTCATCTCGCTCCCTGAAATTGACCGTGCAGAAACTTCCCTGCGTCATGTCAAGAGATTCCCAATAGCTGAAAGAGCAAACGGCAAGCTGCAATCACAGCAGCTTTTAGCAGACTTCAAAATAAGGCATCAGTTCTACCACCATACCTAATCTAGTGCAACGGTTTGACAGACTCATCATAGGCATTAAAAAAGCCTTTCTGGGAGCAAAAAGGATATACCCATAGCAAGTTACAAGCTCTAAAATAAAAATGACCTATAGAAGTACCAAAACTGTGATGGCACAAGTCTGGATTTGCCAAGGGGTAGCCCAAAGCACCCCATGACAGGCAGGTGCCTCTGAAGAGACAAGGATGGATATCTCCAGAAGACACTTCAGTAAAATACTATTTTCCACAGAAGGACTTTGAAGACAGGCGATGGCTATCAAGGCTCAGGCTGAATTTGATGCTTGAGACATAGTGAGGCTCCTTTAAGCTAGTCATCCTCCAATACAGAAGAACATGGGTGGTGAGGACCGAGAGAAAACAAATTTGCCCATAACTCTGAGCGG